ACGGGCTTCCTCACGTTGTTGAGGCAGGGGGAGAAAAATGAAGGAAGGGAGAGATGGGATGAACTGGGGTTCATTCAACGGAGGAAGGCAAGAGTTGGGAGGGAGGAGTGGAAGGGGCAGACAGGTGAGCCAGAGGGCACGTGGCAAAGAACGAGGCGCCAGAGGAGGAGAAAGAGGGAGATGGCGGAGTGGGCCCAACAAAGAGATGAAGGCTCCTGGGGCAGGGTGCGGTGGGTGACAGCCTGGCCTAGATACAGGCCAGGGTGGCAGGGGCAGCCTGGAGAGGCAGGACTGAAAGGGCCACGTGGCCACCTGGCAGGCTTCTGCATATCCCTCTGCCCTGGTCCCACTGGGGGACCAGTCCCTCCTAACCCGCCCACCCTGTGTGTGTGCAGGGACAGTCCCACCTCCCTGCCAGTTAGGGGTGTAATCCCAGTGCCCCTGTAACGGTGGCATGGCTCCCATGTACTCCTGGCTGCAGAGGGCCTGGTGCAGAGACCGAGCCCAGAAAGTGGCTGGGCTCCTGGCCCTTTCTAAATAAGGGATGCAGAAAGCACTGGCTGGGCAGTGGCTCGGGTCCAGGCTCGGCTGGCCCTGCCAGGGGGACCTTCTGAGCTGTGCTCACCTAGGTGAGGAGGGATGCCCTGAGGAGTCTGGTGCGTGCTCAGCAGGGCTAGGAGGAGTCGTAGCTGCAGCTTACGGTTGCTGTGACAGTGACAGGGACAATGTACCTGGTCCCTCCCGCATCCAGGCTCTGGGCGCTGCCTTCATCCCCACACGTGCCTGTCTTTCCTGTCTCTGTCTCTTTGTTTCTCTCTGCCTTCGTCTCCTTCCCTCCCTCTCTGCTCTGAAATTAAATGGGATCCAACTGCCAGCTCCCTGTGTGTTCTGCTCGCGGCTCAGCCCTTTTCATTATTAATAGAAATATGTCCTCATTGTACAGCGCAATGCTGCTTATCTGGAGTGGATTAAGCACTTACGATGTCATGCAGCATTGATTCCTGAGCATCCCTGTAGAAGGAATTCTGCCACAGCCTAATTAGTTCCAGAAAATCAATGGGGGGTGGGTGAGGGGCAAGGGGTGAGAGGACCCTGGCTGGGAGTCGGGAGCCCTGATGTGCTGTGTGACCCTGGGTTAGTCGCTCCCCAGGAGGTCAGGGCTGAGGACGGTGGGAAGGGGCTGCAGGTGAGAGCATGGGCTTGAGCCTGGGTTCGAATCCTAGCTCTACCACTTGCTGGCAGTGTCACGTGGGCTAGGTAATGCCACCGTCTCTTGATTTCTTTATTTTTAAGAGATTTTTGCTACAGAGTGCATGCACTCGCCAGAGAGACAGAGAGACAGAAACTGAGAAATCACCCCCGGGAGATGGCCACAGTACAGAAAGCACTGGCCAGGGCAGTGGCTCGGGTCCGGGCTCTGCCAGGGGGACCTTCTGAGCTGTGCTCACCTAGGTGTGGGGGGACGCCCTGAGGAGTCTGGAGCATGCTCAGCAGAGCTGCAGCAGCTCACGGTCACTGTGACAGTGACAACTTACCCGGTCCCTCCTGCATCCAGGCTCTGGGCGCCGCCTTCATCCCCACGCGTGCCCGTCTTTCCTCTGTCTCTGTAATCCCTTTGCCAGTCGCCTCTTGGGGTTTCGGGAACACATGCACACTCACCTGGCATGAGTTTAAGCCACCAGGTCCAGGACTCAACCTGCAGTCGGCTACACGGGAGTCCAGCAACCAAACCGTGATGACACCTGCTGGTCCCTGTCTCTTGGTTACTGTGCCTATTCAGTGGGGTGTGTGTCAGTCAGGGGCAGGCAGGAGATGGCGGCCCTTTCAAACTGGGAGAGTGGAGGAGAGTTAAAAAATGAGGGCGGGGGTCGGGCCAACAAGGGACAGTACAGCGCCGACTTTGGCAACAACTTCCCAGGCCCCACCCCATGCCTGAAGGGGGGCACACAGGGGGGTGTCACCCCAAGCTGGGGAGTGGGCTGTGTGGGGAGGCCTGCTTGACTGGAGCCAAGACCTTTGGAGGAGGTCACAGCTGCCCTGGGAGGACCCCTGCCCCATGCCATCACAGGCTTCTCTTTGCTGGTCAGCCAGGAGCCCAAGGGCAGGTTTGTAAAGGCCGTCCATCCACACAGGATGGCCCTGGACACAGTGGGCTAAAGAGCCACCTGGGGGCCATCAGGGTGGGGCACGACAGCCCCCCACTGGGCCCCAGGAGTCAGTGAGCAGATTCACAGGAAGTAGCCACAGGCCTGGCCCGGAGCAGCCGCCCAGTCAGGCATGATGGAGGCAGCCCTGGACACTGGGAGGGACCAGGCACACGTCACAGGCCCTGTCACAGCCCGGCTGGGCGGCCTCGCTGTAAAGAAGGAGTGGCGAGATCCTTCCACCTTGCTGTGCCGACCTAAGCTGGCCGGGGAGTGCGGAGGCGGCCCTCTGACCTGGGTTTGAAGGGGCTACGAAGGCCCCACCTGGGGTTGTTCCAGGAGCAAGGGGGAGCGTCTGGCACACAGTGGGTGTGCAGTAAACACAACCTCCCTGACATGGTTCCACGTCAGCAGTGAGGAGCAGGAGTGTCCTCGACCTTTCTACCTCATCACCATCAGGGTGACACAGCAAGATGCAGGACACTGGTCAGGTCACCTGCGTGGGCCTGGGCCATGTGCCTGGCCCTTGAGCTGCAGGCTGGAGATGGCCAGGGTAGAGGCAGGTGTGTGTGACCCTCGGCGCTGCCCCTGGCTGCCTCTCCTGGCCTCAGCTGCTCAGGCCCAGGGAGACCAAGTCTCTCTGCACCCCGAGTCTGTCTCTGCCCCTCACCCTCCGAGGCCACTCAGGCTGTGTCCCGGGAATGAGGGTTCCTGCATAGAGTCCAGGCCCAGGATCGAGTCTTCCACCCACTGAGGACGCAGGCAGCGGGCAGGCCGGACTCTGCGGACTGGGTGCCGTGGAGCCCGCCAGCCTTGGTTTGCTCGTCGGTGGGGAGAGACCTGCCTTTCAGGGCTGTCCTGGGACTAGTGTGGAGTCCGTGAGGACCAAGGCGCGCGGCAGGGGGGTTGTGACGCCAGCTCCCACGCCTGTGGTCAGATCCCAGGGCCTTTCTGGTCCCCACGTGGGGTCCTAGCTGCAGGACACGAAGCTCCTCTGAGGTTCTCAGTCTCGGCAGCCAGGCTGAGTCACAGAGAACAGGCCCACAAGTCTCATTTCCAGTTTTTAATGTTTTTCTTGTAAAACCAAAAATATAAAACTGGCAGGGGAATGGGAAACAAGTCTGTACATTTTATATACACGAGGTCTGTGATTCTGAAACCACGGGGCTGAGAAACGGGAAGACAGCAAGGGAATGTCACAGGTCACGGGTCCGGTGGGCACTCTGCACTCGCTCCCAGCTGCTGCTGGGCGGCCTCTGCACCCCCACTGCACCCCGCGTCTGCAGCCCGGCTGCTCTGGAGCGCGGAGGGTGGGAGCGGGTGGCAGATGGGCTAAGTGCCATGTCTGCGATGTGCAGGCAATGCGGGGCCACCTTCAGGTGTCCGTGTAGATGGAGGGGATGTGACTCAGGCAGTGGTCGAAGGCCCCATTGGGGAAGAAGCCACAGTCCTCGGGGCCACTGGACACCACGTCTTCAGATGGCTGTGGTGGCAATGCTGGGGGGCACGGTGCCTCTGCCAGGGCCTCGTAGCCTGTGGGTGGGTGGGAGACGGTCAGGGTTAGAGGAAGCAGGGGCTGTGCCTTGTCATCCCCAGATCCCGTCCTGCCTGCCTGGAGTCCTGGTTTACAATGCCTCCTTGGTGGGGCTGGGGTCCTGGGGTCCTGGGGCCCAGGGCAGCTGGGGAGGCAGGCACAGCTGGTTTGGGGCGGAATGTTGGGGAGGTAGGGAGGAGTGGGTGTGAGTATTGTAGCTCTTGCCCTCAAGGTCTGGTCTCCTTGGGGGAACCTAGCTCACCTCCTTCTTTCAGTTTTCTCTTCCCCACCAGACTTGGGAACCCACAGAAAAGAACCACTTCTACGCGGTCCTTATTAAGTGCTCGTTTAAGCCTCAGCTCACTTCGGCTTCCCAGCAGCCCACGAGGTGAGATTCATGATCTCACCTGAGAGCTGGGAAGATGGACTCAGGAGAACAAGACACTGCCCGTAAGTGGGGGATCTGGGGCCTGAACGCCAGTCCATCTGGCTCCAGGGTGGGGTCACCACTCAGAGGCCCTTGGAGGGGTTGTCTTACCCAGCCCCTGCCCTGAGGGCTTTGTTCCCAAGCTGCATCACGAGTCTGTGTGCTCTAAGGCTTCCGTCTCCCCATCTACTGCACCATTTGGGGCCCTACCACCCCATCAGCTTGTCAGTCCAGGTTCAATCCCATGTGCCTGTCCAGTCTTGGCAGAGGTCATGTGACAGCGGACAGGCTGCTGAGTGGGCCTGGAATGGGCGCTGTGGGGAGGGAGGTTGGAAGAACCTCCCCACTGTGGTGGGGATGGGCACGACACTGCCTCCCGCTCCTCGGAGCTGTCCATTTCAGTCTCCACGGCTCAGCTGGGGCCTCCTGCCCGGGCTGGACACAGGGTGGGGAGAATGGGCTGCTGACTGAGCACGAGCCTGTGTGCACACAACACCTGCCTATTGTGCACGCATGTGGTGCGTGTCACCCAGGTGTGTGGACTGTACTTGAACACAAAGGTGCATACGACACTCATCTGAAATAGCCCAGTGTACGGCAATGTATACAGTGCCTGCGTCCACACCCACCTGTGGTCACAGACCTGAGTCACAGGGTGGGTGACAATGTGAACACAGACTTGGGTGCACGTACAGCACGTGCGTATGTGTACACGTGTGCAGACAGGAGAGCTCCTCACACCCTCCCAGGGGCTCACGCTGCCCAAAGCCGCCTATACCTGCCTTACGTGAACATGCATACTCATACACACTTCATAAACATGCGAAGAACGTGCCCACAACATGGGAGCAGGTATGTAAACATGAACACACAGACTCGCACACGGATGTATCCGTAGGTTTGGGTGTGCCTGTCTGAGGCCCTGCTGCTTGCCCCATGTCCTGTCCTTCCACCCCGGGCCACACCTACCCCCTGGAGCTGGTTAGGGGACTTCTGGGCCAGGACCTAAGGTTGCCTTGTGATGGTGCCCTGGTATGCTCCAGCTAGACCTGGCCTCAAGGTTGGTCAGAGTTGGGCCTGGCTTAGGGACTTCAGGGAAGTTCTAACCCCACTGATGGCTGTGCTCTGACCGGACCTGGCCCTGCTGGTCTGAACCTGATGTCACCTTGGGCTGCGGAGAATCCTCCCCTCATTGGGCTTCTCACCCGAGCCAGGACATGGCATTACACGGGGAAGGGCCCGCAAAGAGCACCAAGCACAGAGGTACATACAGGTCCCTGTGGAGGCTCTCGGGCCCACCTGGAGGCTCTGTCCCTTCCCAGCTGCCGTCTCTGTTGAAGGAGGCCAGTGTTTGTTTCAGTCCCCCCATTTGCCCAGGGTCTACAGCTGAGGGCCTGCACACAGGCAGGGCTCCACAAGTACTCAGTGAGGTATCATCCAGTCCATGAGCTCCTAGTCTGTCTCCTGTCTTCAGAAACCCACCAGAGTCCAGACCCACGTACGCCGTGGGAGGCTATGGGACACTGACCTTCTAACCAGGCAGGGGGCACAGCCCAGTTCTCGGAGCCTCTGTTTCCACCTCTGCCATGTGGGGTGGCCCTACTGTATAGGGCTGGCCGAAGATGTGGAACCATGTGTGGAAAACCGCCAACACGGGACTGGCCTAGTCAGGGCTCACCTAGTCAGGGCAGGTTCAGGGGCTCACCTGCGGCAGGTATAGGGGCGCTGAGGCTGTGGTAGCCGTTGGGCCGCAGTGGGTTGAACCCGTGGGCCTCCCCAGCCAGTCCGTCACTGCTAGCTGTGGGTCCAGCTGTCCGGTAGCAGTCGCCATAGGAGAAGCAGTTCTGGATGGAGTGGAAGCTGCCCTGGTAGCCTGCAGGTGGGGGTGGCAGAGGGTGCGTGAGCGAAGGACAAGGCCCAGGGCGGAGGGGACCATCCCCACTGCACTGTTCAGCCCCTGTACGGGCTTCTGTGTGGGGCTGCCCCTGGTCGCCTGTGGTGGACTTTGTGTTTTGAGGGGAGGACACTGGCCTGCCTACTCCTCGACCCTCAGATCTGCCGTACCCAGTCACCCAGTTCCTCAGGCAGGCCTCTCCCAGCCGCCAGCCGTGGGCTGTGCTCGCTGCTCTGCTGGGACAGCCCTTCGATGCCATCAGACCCAGTTTCCTCCAGGAAAGGCCTTTCGGTCGCCGTCTCCCAGCATCTCCCAGCCTGGCCTTTGGTGCCTGCCTCCTCTGAGAACCCGCCTGCCTCCCCCAGGCTGGTGTCCTGGTCTTTGTGGGCCCCTGGGTGGGAGTTGGTGTGCGTGGACAGGCCACCTGGCCAGAGCTCACCTTGGGGGCTGGGCAGAGGAGGGGGTGGGGGGCTCTGGAAGGGCGGGTAGGACGGCTTGTTGGGGAGCATGGAGAAGGGCTGGCCCCCTGGAGAGTGGCTCTGGGAGGATGCAGGCAGTGGCGGTGGCCCGAGCCCCTTCAGTGGGCTGACCATGGGTGAGAGGAGGCCGGGCCCCAACCTGGAGAGAACAGAAATGACTGTCAGCAAGAGGGGCTCTGGGGGAGAAGGGCCAGGGGCACGGCTGCACTGGCTGCTCGCCTCCAGCTCGCGGACCCACTCTAACTTGCAACAGTGCAGTTTGGAGAAAGAGCTTTTAATTTCTGGCGATGTTCACAGTCAAGTTAAAATTTTAAATCCTGTAGGCTTTAGAGGCTGCACAGAGCAGCCGTGGCGAGCTCTGCCTTTGGAGTCAACAGGGCTGTGTTCGAATGCCCGTTGCCCTCACTGGCCAAGTGACTTCGGGCAAACTGCTCCATGTCTCTGAGCCGTGCTTTCCTTGAAGGGTGGCTGTGCCCACACTGTAGCTCTCAGTTCTGAGGAGTAAGTACCAGCTGCTCCTGCTCTTAGGGTGCCCAATCCTCTTAACTCTGTGTGCACCACCCTGGCAGCCTGGAGGATGGGCCCTGGGACAACCTGCACGGACAGCCTTGGCGTTCCTTAGCAGAGCACACCACAGCACTGTCCCAGCTCACTGAGCCCCTCCTCACCCCAGGCCCCACGAGACAGTGAAGGTTCAGAGAGGTTGCCCAAGCTACTCCCAGTCACACAGCACGGAACCCTCGTGGGTGACAGTGAGAGCAAAATTAAAGCAGCGCAGATAAACGGTATCTGACACCTGCCGAGCCACTCTGTCATCATCATCCAGAAGAAAGGCTGCAAAGCGAGCCCTGCAGTCTGAGTTCCAGCTGGCCTCTTCCTCCTGCCTGGGCACTGTGAGGGACCTTCTCCCATTCCATCCCTGGCTAGCTCTCCGCCTCCTGTGATGGGCTCACCAACTGCCTCCACAGGAGGCTGAGCAGAGGAGCCCAGACTGTGCTCGGGAAGTGCACGTTCCGGTCAGACTGTTGCAGGGGAGCACCGCGCGGGCCTCCACCTGGACTGAACGTTCCTCCTCGTGCTGCCCTCTAAGCTCCAGGGCCCTGTCCACAGGCGCCAGCGTGACTCTGGGTCGGCTGTGCCTGGGCCCTCACTGGGCCCTCACAGCCCACAGGACGTTTACCTGCCCTGCAGGACGAGGGCGAGCAGAGCTCCGCGTCTCTGGTTTGTTTGGATCTGCAGGTGTGTTGGACCATCCCCCTTAAAACACAGCCAATTCGGTGTCACGGCTCCAGGTGACCCGTCCAAACTGTCCAGCTAGGCCCACCTCGGAGACGTGAGGTGTTATTAAGGTTCCTCTCTGAGGGAAGCAGGGCTATCTGGACATGGAGAGTGGGGGGTTGGAGAGAAGGCGAGGGTTCCAGGTCTGCAGCTCTGCTTCATCTGACCTGGCAGGGCGCCCTGCTGTCCCTGCCCCTCCACGCACTAATGTCACTCATGTGTCTGAGACCCTCTTCCTGGTGAGCTCACCGAGGGCTGAGGGAGGCGAGCCTCCGTGCTGGGTGCCTGGCCCAGCCACTAACACATGTAGGTCCGCGAGTCCTTAACAAGTCTCCACAAATTGAGTATCTTTACTGTCACTGTCACTGTCCCGAGGCCCGTCTCACAGGCCACCAGGTGGGCAGGATCTCCTCGGTGCGCCATGAGCTGTGAAAGGCTGTGCACACCTCTGCGTCCTCCTCACCAGCGCTCCTGCTGCAGCCGGGCAGAGGCTCGGCCTCCTTCGCACGGTGCCTGCCTTCTCCCCATTCCCTCTGGTTCCCCGTCGGTCCCCTCTGGGAGCTCCTGCAGGAGGGCCGGGTCTCAGCCCTCTGGGTGACCCAGTACTGGGGCTGGCACATGGCAAACACCTGACAATGCCAGCACGCGCTATCACCTCAGCCGCGGAACCCGGAGAGGGCAGCACTGCAGAACGAAGGGGCCAGATGGGAGGGGAAAGCATCATGTGCAGTTTGTTTTTCCTGTCTCGGCCCTGCCATAAATTCACATTTGCCACCTTCACAGCCAGTGAAATGAAACAGAACAGGACTCTGTCTGCAGCCGAGCCCAGGGCTGGGGTTACGCTGCTCCACCTGAACCCCCGACAAGGGAGAAAGAGCACCTGGGGCTCCTCTTCTGAGTCACGCAGAGGATTCCTAAATCAAATATTTTTGCTTCAATTGGAACCTATAAAAATTAATATAAAACCTCACTGGCCTGGCAGACTGAGGGCTTCATACCTCGCATGGGGCTGGGGGAAAAAATGCCCGATTCTGCGTCTTCTCTGAGCCAGGGTAAACACATTTGGTCATGAAGCCAGGCCCTCTTCGCATATTTCTGAGTGAATCAGATAATTCTGTCAAGCTATTTAAACGTCCCAGCAAACCACTGGGGAGCCGCGAGTGGCCGTTCCCTGTTGACTTTGGCAGGAAGAGGAGGCTGAGGGCCATGGTCTCCCCTCTTCTCAGGAGTGGAAAAGAAACCCATTCAGGCTGGGCCTGGTGTGGGACCAGAGGAGCCTGCCCGGGTGCCTGCCTCGCTGGTTGGGCCCTCGAGGTCCTGCTCCTGCAGGCGGGGTGGGCAGGCGGCCTGGGGGTCCCATCCTGTCAACACTTGGCCTTGCACCACAGGGATTCTGCCGGGCACTTATGCAGGCGCAGGCAGGTGGTGAGTGAGGCGGCTGCACAGCCGAGCAGGGGAAGGCCCCCGTGGTTTATTTTCCTTTGGACAGAGGTGCTGGGCTGGCTGTTGGGTGAGCAGGTGGCCTGATGATCCACTACCAGGTGACACACACACTGGCAGGCACTTGTAGCTGACCCTGGCCTCCTGAGAGGAGGGTACCTTAATGCCCTCCACAGAGGAAGACGCTGAGGCTGGGAAGGCCTGGTTTTCTGGGGCCCCTTTTGACCCCCATTCAGGTTGCCTCTGTGACTCTCTGCTCACCACAGCCAGTCCTCCCCAGGTCGGGGATGGCCCCTCTGCACCCGGGGCTGCCCCAGATGCTCCTCCTTCCTGTGCCGCCACTGTGTTCCAGCTGTTCCTCCTTCCTACCCAGACCCAGCCCCGGCTCAGGCTGCCGTCCTGCACACCACACTCCAGCTCCACAGTGCAGGCTGAGCGTGTCCTCATCCCCAAAGCTGACCACACCTCGCTCCCAGGTGCATCTCTCAGGAGGCACCAGGCTGTTTCATGCCTGCCTGCACCTTGCTGTTCCCTCTTCCCAACCTCTCCACCAGCTCACTCCAACTTCACCTTAGGGGGCCTGTCTTAGCATCACCTCCTCCAGGAAGTCTTCCCTGACACCCTCCTCGCAGCCTTACTCCCTGGATTCTCTCCTTGGCCCTTGAGGCTTCCCTCCCTTACTGCCCCCTTGTGGTCAGTCTCCGCATGTCTGTCAGTCTCCCTCTGCACTGTGACCTCTCCAGGCTGCAGTGGTCAGTGTCCCCAGTGGCGGCCCAGGCCCACTCTCGGGCTCAATAACTGGACACTGACGGAAAGGCTGAAGGAAAGGCCCTGTCAGGAGCAGTGGACGAGAAGTTGGTATGGAAGCCAGGCTGGACCCTGGGAAGGACAGCCCGGGGGCAGGCCTCAAGGAACAAGTCTGATCATGTCTCCTGCCTATAAGCAAAATTGGCAGGGCGGGAAGTGAGGCCTGTGAGGCCCCCTTTGTTCATTTGCAAAGAAAACAAATTTCAGCAGCATTAGTGGTCTACAATGAACACAGTCACGTTTCTAGCCAATTAAGTGGCCATGATGAGAACCACGTGGGATGCAGGAAGGTTCTGCCCCTCTCTGCAATGTCCTGCAGTGAAGGCTCCCAGCAGACCGGGTGACAGTCACAGCTGCAGCGGCCAGAGAGGGGGCGAGGTCTGAGCTGGCACCTCGGCATGGGCAGGGGGCAGTCTGCTCACCAAGTGCACGGCTGAGCCGAGGGGAAGCAATGAGGCTCCCGAGGAGGCCTGGGGTGGCAACCCCTTCCCAGAATCCCCCACTGGCGGGAGTGGGCACGTGCCATGAGGCACTGAGAAGCCGGAGCCAGTACTAGCTGCCTCACAGGGGCTCGTGAGGCACCTACAGAACCACGCACAGAGGGTGTTTAGAGTACCGTAAGCCGTAAGTGCCCTGTACGGTTGGCCATTTCCATTATCGATAACCACCTGCCCTCGCCAGCCTCCCCCGCAGATGCCCGCTTCCTGAGAAGAGACCGGCGTGGTGTACATACCCGTCCCTGGTTCTCTCAGCGGTGGGCAGAGGGGACAGATGGTGGTGGGAACCGGTGCTGGCCTCCAGTGGGTGGTGCCCGGAAGGGACATCGTGTGTGGGGGGCAGGATGCCTGATGCCAGCCCGTTATGGGGGGCGACGGAGCCAGGATACACGCCTGCAGGGAAGCAGATATCATTGGACTTTGGCCACTCCCTAGAGACGGCTGTGGACGGCACAGGAGAGAGGCAGGAAGGGAAAGGAAAGGCTGTACCAACAGAGGTTCAAGGGCCCGAAGGAGGGACGGCATGGCCCCACTGTGCTTCGTTCAGGCCAGGAGCTGAGGGTGGCCCTGAGAGCAGGTGCCTGGGTGGGCAGGGTCCGTGTGTAGGTGCACTGGGGTGGGGGCCCGTTGCAGCAGGCTGCTCCAGATCTCTGCAGGCTGTTCTGCAGAACCTCAGAAGCACACGGGGACCCTGGGACGGAGAGGAGCTCGAGAAGTGGGCAGTACCTCGGGGTGTGGCGGTGTCTGACTGGCAGCGAGGTGCTGGAGGCTAACGGCGGCCTGCCTTCGGAGGACTGCCGCCCCAGGGTGTGCCAACAGAGCCCGTGTCCACTGTGAAGGGGGACAACTTACTGCTGGGTGGCAGGCTGGTCTAGGACAGGCTGGCCGGATGGCTACATAGGCTGAACACGGCACCAGGGCCCCCAGGGAAGAGGGGAATTCACCGTGTTCTAAGATCGCAGCCTTCACAAGACAGCTGCAGGGGGGCTCCTCTGATCACCTTTTACCCCCAAGGGCCCACCCTTTTCTTTCTTTCTCACTTTCTTCATTCTCTTGGAATTTTGTCCATGGCCCCAGCGTGAGTTTCAAGCTGCTGAGTCCGGGCCTCCAACCATGGCTGGCCGCGTGGGAGTTCAGCACCTTCAGCACCATGCCACCTGCTGGCCCCGGGTCTACCTTTACTAAGAAGAAATCCCTGGGGGACACTAGGTCAGAGTCAGCTGTTGCTCTCGGGGCCCGACCACGGGTTCTGGCGTTATTGCGGCCAGTCATCCCGAACCTTCATCCAGGGACCCCTCATCTGGGACTGGAGTTGGAGAGGGTCAGAGCAAGGGCTGTGTTTCTGACATTCCCTATTCTGTCAGGGAAAACGGGCTACTTTTACATCTCCCTCTCTCTCTCTCTTTGCCATAGGGCGTGTGGGCTTGCCAGAGAGAGACAGAGACCGAAAGGGGGAAAGTGAGCAGTCACCCCCTGGGGACGGCCACACCACAATCCTTTCTCCTTGATTCTCTTCTCGGAATTTGGGGCACACATGCACCTAGCAAGATTTTCAAGGTACTGGGTCCAGGACTCCAACTGTGGCCAGCCAAGTGGGAGTCCGGTGCCTTAGCATCCCCTGCTGCCCCTGTGCATCCCCTCTTTAATCTGGCCATGGTAATTTGAACAGAAACTGACATTTCCCTAGAAACCAAAGTTTCAAGTTGGTGCCAAGGACGGACTCGGGGGTGGGACTGTGTCCACGCTGGGCCGTCGACTTCATTTTGATGATCACACTTGTTACCCCGGATCCAGACCCAGAGCTCTTAGCCACCTCATAAGGACCAGTCTGAGAACACGCCAGGCTCCCTTCATGAACGCGCTGAGGAACTTCTGCCTTCTCCGCAAGTTGGGGTTCCACGGCTAGCTCATCCCAGGTGGACCCCTGTGGCCCAGGCCTACAATTCAGGAGGCTGCTACAAGGGATCGAGCAGGGCTGTGGGTCTTACGTGGCATGGCAGGGAGCAAAATGAGGGAACTGCAGGGAGTGGTGGGGACTGTGGCAAAGGGGAGGGAATATGCCCCTTCAAGGCCATTACGCTGAAACTCGGGAGAACCCATCTCCACTGTGCCTACGAGACCAGTCTACAACCCCTGGCTTGGAGTTAGAGCAGCAGGCACCCTATGTGCATTAGATGAAATTCTACTCTTCCAACAATAATTACCGCTAACGAAGAACGCACCATGCGCCAAGCTCTTTCTCCATGTTATCGAGTTGACCGATCTCAACAACCGTTGGTGGGGGAAACAGTATGATCCTATTTTAAGAAACCAAATCTTAACAAGTTAAACAACTTGTTGGAAGTCACGCAGCAGGCAGCTGGTCATGCCTGTCTTCTCAAGTCCATCTGCAGCCAGGCCCCGGAGATGCTCGGGGGTGCAGTTCAGGCTCTGGTCTGCATGTCCTCCAGGGGCCTTGCCTCTGGGCCAGGCTCTGCTGCTGGCTGGGAGACCCTGGGACTCCGGGTGGGCTCTCATGCACTCTCCGCCCTGCCTTCGGAGGACTGCCGCCCCAGGGTGTGCCAACAGAGCCCGTGTCCACTGTGAAGGGGGACAACTTACTGCTGGGTGGCAGGCTGGTCTAGGACAGGCTGGCCGGATGGCTACATAGGCTGAACACGGCACCAGGGCCCCCAGGGAAGAGGGGAATTCACCGCGTTCTAAGATCGCAGCCTTCACAAGACAGCTGCAGGGGGGCTCCTCTGATCACCTTTTACCCCCAAGGGCCCACCCTTTTCTTTCTTTCTCACTTTCTTCATTCTCTTGGAATTTTGTCCATGGCCCCAGCGTGAGTTTCAAGCTGCTGAGTCCGGGCCTCCAACCATGGCTGGCCGCGTGGGAGTTCAGCACCTTCAGCACCATGCCACCTGCTGGCCCCGGGTCTACCTTTACTAAGAAGAAATCCCTGGGGGACACTAGGTCAGAGTCAGCTGTTGCTCTCCGGGCCCGACCACGGGTTCTGGCGTTATTGCAGCCAGTCATCCCGAACCTTCATCCAGGAAGCCCTCATCTGGGATTGGAGTTGGAGAGGGACAGAGCAAGGGCTGTGTTTCTGACATTCCCTATTCTGTCAGGGAAAACGGGCTACTTTTACATCTCCCTCTCTCTCTCTCTTTGCCATAGGGCGTGTGGGCTTGCCAGAGAGAGACAGAGACCGAAAGGGGGAAAGTGAGCAGTCACCCCCTGGGGACGGCCACACCACAATCCTTTCTCCTTGATTCTCTTCTCGGAATTTGGGGCACACATGCACCTAGCAAGATTTTCAAGGTACTGGGTCCAGGACTCCAACTGTGGCCAGCCAAGTGGGAGTCCGGTGCCTTCACCACCATGCCCTGCTGGCCCTGTGCATCCCCTCTTTAATCTGGCCATGGTAATTTGAACAGAAACTGACATTTCCCTAGAAACCAAAGTTTCAAGTTGGTGCCAAGGACGGACTCGGGGGTGGGACTGTGTCCACGCTGGGCCGTCGACTTCATTTTGATGATCACACTTGTTACCCCGGATCCAGACCCAGAGCTCTTAGCCACCTCATAAGGACCAGTCTGAGAACACGCCAGGCTCCCTTCATGAACGCGCTGAGGAACTTCTGCCTTCTCCGCAAGTTGGGGTTCCACGGCTAGCTCATCCCAGGTGGACCCCTGTGGCCCAGGCCTACAATTCAGGAGGCTGCTACAAGGGATCGAGCAGGGCTGTGGGTCTTACGTGGCATGGCAGGGAGCAAAATGAGGGAACTGCAGGGAGTGGTGGGGACTGTGGCAAAGGGGAGGGAATATGCCCCTTCAAGGCCATTACGCTGAAACTCGGGAGAACCCATCTCCACTGTGCCTACGAGACCAGTCTACAACCCCTGGCTTGGAGTTAGAGCAGCAGGCACCCTATGTGCATTAGATGAAATTCTACTCTTCCAACAATAATTACCGCTAACGAAGAACGCACCATGCGCCAAGCTCTTTCTCCATGTTATCGAGTTGACCGATCTCAACAACCGTTGGTGGGGGAAACAGTATGATCCTATTTTAAGAAACCAAATCTTAACAAGTTAAACAACTTGTTGGAAGTCACGCAGCAGGCAGCTGGTCATGCCTGTCTTCTCAAGTCCATCTGCAGCCAGGCCCCGGAGATGCTCGGGGGTGCAGTTCAGGCTCTGGTCTGCATGTCCTCCAGGGGCCTTGCCTCTGGGCCAGGCTCTGCTGCTGGCTGGGAGACCCTGGGACTCCGGGTGGGCTCTCATGCACTCTCCAGCTCTTGGCCTCTGTCCTCACCCCTCTCTGCCTCTGGGACCCCCACAGTAATGCCTGCTTGTCCATCCACTGTCTCCCACGGGCTCGATCCTCCCTGGCCTGGTCGGGAAGACACCCCAGGGGATTTCTGTGGCAGGAGCCCGGTGAGGCGCGCTCACTGCACCACTCACCACGCTGCTCAGCACCTCCTTCTCGCCATCTTGAACCAATTTGGGGGCCCAAGAGCTGGGAAGGCCTGGAACCCTGATAAATCTCACTCCCTCTCCTGCCACACTGACCTTCTGCTTCTCACGTCCTCAGTGCCCATCACGTCACGCTGGGCCTGCTAAGGACGGCCTGATTAGCTCCTGAGGGTTTCCTACTGACGGAGCTGGTACCTCCGCCGGAGGAGCCTCAGGGAACGCCCTGTAACTAAGCAACGGAAATCTGTGTAGCCTTCTCCACCTCCACCCTTGCCCCCACCCATGGCTGGACTCGTCTAGCCCTTGAGTCTGTCCCCTGCTCTCCCCCTGCCTGCGCCCAGGTCCCCGACTGTACCGTCCCCTGAGGACACACAGTGGGTGGTCATGAGTGTGAACAGGGGATGTTGAACACATGAACAGAAGTGGACGGGGATAAGGAACTACCTGATTGTGAGGGCCAGTGGGAGTGGGGACCACACGGGGCCTGCAGGCCTCACCCCAGAACGCACCCCTTTGCGCAGCAAAGCAGGGTCATCTATCAAACAGCCATGAAGGCCTGACCTCCAGCCCCAACACCTGCTTCCCGCTGAGCCTTGCGTATCTGCCATGTGGCTTGTGGAAGACCTGGCCACAAAACCTGAGGGAGTCCGGGACCTCTGGGGGTACCTGGCTGGTCCTTCCCTCCCCGCTGCGCTGGAAGCAGCTCAGAGCTGGGACAGCACGGGACTGGGACACAGAAGGCACTCAGCTAGTAGCGGCAGGGAGGCAGATGGATGCCTGGTCAGGCACACTCACAGCCAGACGGCCTGGGTTCAAATCCTGCCTCTGCCACTTACTGACTGTGGACAGAGGGACCTTGTGAGGCTGAGGAGAGGACCCTGGCAGTCGACACACACATACTCAGTAACTGGCATTACTATGGAGGGGACGAGTACCTGCTCTTCTCGGTCACCGTGAGCAATGATAATGCAAACTCACCATCGGTCAGAGGCTTGTAATAAGCACACCCACGATTACGTTTGTCCTCACAGTAGTCTGGGAGGGAAACTGAGGCTCGGAGCCGGGGGGGGGGAATTGCCTCAGGCTTTTGTTATCCAACCCAGCACAGGTTTCACCCCCCCACCCCCACACCCCGCCTTCCACCCCGCTCCCGGGCCTGGGCCGAATGAAATGATGTCTGTAGCCTGACTGATGCTCAAGGGGTGGTTACTGCTGCCCCTTCCTCCCGGGACAGCCCTGGGCTGGCGTCTAGAACAGGCTTCCAACCTGACCCTGTACTGACTGATCTCGGAAACCTTGGGTAAGTCCACCCCCTGCCCAGGCCTGAGTCCTCTCAAGGTGAAAATGAGGAGCTACTGCACCCCTGCCCTGGGGCGGGGGTGACCTCACGGGGGTAACTTTGCGAATCAACTGCGGCCTCTCTCCTGCCGAGTCAGGAAGCAGCCCCAGAACCCTTTGTCACCAGCTGTGGGAGCCGCACTGAGACACAGCCCTTCGTCCCCGGGCTGGGTCATCTACGGTCCCTTCTAGCCCCGCCTTTGAGCCCTCTGACCCTGTGAGACGTGGCCCGCAGCTGAGGGGCTCCCTGGCTGGAGGGAGGAGGGCGTAGCCCCCACCCCATGGGTTTTCTCGCCAGTGTGGGCCTTAGCTCAGACCCCTGTGAAGGGGACTCAAGAGGAACCTTCTCTTCCTGAGGCTGCGCCGAGTCTTTGATAATATTGCTAAATCTGCAACTTCAACATTGAGGGGAAAGAATAAGTTATAAAGTAAGAAATGTCTACGGTGGTTGGGATAATTCCAGAAATCCCAGGGGGTGGGCAGAGCTTTGGGCTCTGACGCTGTGGTTGCTTCAGGGGGCTTGGGTAGAGTGCAGCATCGTCAGTGGAGTCCCTGCCCCCAGCCTGCAGCTGTTGGAGGGACGGACAGGCCGCCTCGGCTGGGCCAGAGGCTCTGAGCGTGTGGCTGGGTGGACTGAGGGGGTCCCATCTCTGGGCCAGAGTTTGGCGATGAGCTGTAAATGGCTCTAGCTCTGCTGCCTACTCGCTCGGCACCTCAGTTTCCCCTCCCAAGCAGGAGTCATGGTGGGGAACAAATGGGACTTCAAGTGGAGGCCGAGAAAGGACGGCCCTTGAGGAAGTTCCTCCTTGCAGATGAGCCAGCAGCATGGCATCTGGAAGGGCCTGGGCCTCACGCCCAGGGGCCTGAAGCTTCTCCAGGGCCACATGTTCCCTGCCCAGCTCTGCACGTGTGCCCGTGCTGAGTGCTGGTGACTCCAGGGTGGAGACTCTAGGCCTGCTCTTGAGGAGCACACGGCATGGTGAGGAGGTGGACGGGGAATGGAGCAACAGCCCGGAGTGCTTAGTGCTGAGGCTGGGGGAAGCCCAGAGGAAGACTTCCTGGAGGAGGGGGCGAGGAGGCAGGCTCTGAAGGAAGGGTAGGAGCTTAGTGAAGGGAGGGGGAGAGGAGGCTGGCAAGGTGTGGACAGTGGCTCAGCTTAGTGAGAGAGGGCAGGCAGTGCTCAGGGAACTGCACCTGGGGTGCCAAGCTGGGGCACGGGTCCAGGTCCCGTGAGGCCATGAGGCCATGCTGAGAGGGGCCTGGCTGCATCCCATGGGCAGGAGTGTGAAAAAAGCCTGGGATGGCGTGAAGGTAGAAGGCAGAGGCGGCATGGCCCAGGGGAGTGGGTGCTCTGGTGACCCAGGAGCATCACCGCCCTCCTCTGGGGATGGTTGTAGAGAAAGCCCCTAGCCCCGGCTGCGCCTTGGCCCTGCCTTCCCACACACGTACCTGGGAGCAGCTCCTGGCCCAGGGCACAGCCGCCCTTCCCGTCACTGGCAGCCAGCTGTGTGGACGCATGGAGCTGATGCAGGGCCAGGCACTCGGTCAGGACGTCGGCCTCGGGATCGGGGCACACGTGCACCTGTGGAGTGAGCAGAGGGGGTGTGCGTGAGAGACTACCTGCCTCCGAGCCCTCGCTTTGGGGGACAGGGCAAGTGGGACGGTGGCCCCTGGGGAAGAGGCTCCTCCTTGCTGTGCCTCGGTTTCCTCATCTGAAAAGTGGGACTAACTGTGGACACTGAAGATGGTGTCAGTCTGGGGCCTCTGAGAAGCAGATGACAAGCAGATGGGACTCAACATGTCAGAATTTTAACAGGGGACGTGCGTGGGGGCGGGGTGGAGAAAAGAAAAGACAAAACGGGAAGGCTGGGAGAGCCCTTGGGTGCCAGGAAAGGAGGAAGAGATTGGGTGGAAGCTCCTAGCTGCGAGGCAGGATCCGGCGTTGCCTCAGCATCCCTGCCAGCCTGCACAGTGAGCCACGGGCTGGAGCAGGTGGCAGGAGGCACGGCCGCAGCACAGCAGAGGGGGCAGAGAAGTGCTACCACATGGTGATTGGTCACTCCCCCCTCCAGGCTGTCTTCCTTCGTGGTACCAAGCACAGTAGAAACCTTTTAGGACAAGGCCGAAGAGCTGGGCTCAAGCGCGTTCTCTGTCTTCTCACTCCGGGCGTGACACTGGACGAATAACCTCTCTGGGTCTCACCTACCCTGCCTGTGTGTGAGGACGGATGGACGGAGGGTGAGAGCTCTGACGGGCTGGCACAGGCTGCCTGCGCCTCACGTGGTCCCATGAGAGGGACGGATCAGTAGGCGAACTTGGGGTCTTCTGGCTAAGAGTAAGTTGAGCTAAGACTCATGTGGGTACGCGCCCAGGGCCCAGGCAAATACCCGGCCAACAGCCCCGGGCTGTTCCCAAAGGCTGTCACTGGAGAAGGTCTTGGCCTCTCCAGAAAGAGCCAGAATGGGAAAGGGCTGGGCCCTTGGCTGAGGAGGGGGCGGGCACCTGCATGGGGGAGGCTGCCTCCTGTGGAAACCCCGAAGCTTTCCTCTCAGAGCTGGAGGCCCAGAGAGTGGCTCTTCTGAATGGTCCTTTTACAAAGGACAAAACAGACACAGAGAGGCGAGAGCCTTGTCCCATGTCACAGGGCAGCTGAGAGTCAGCCCCAAGGGTTTTTCCACCCTCCCGGGCCAGAAGGGCCAGTTCGGCTTGGGGATGGCATGCCTAGCCTGGAGAAGGGCTCGCGGCTCCCTGACCCAGCAGCTGTTTTCCATGTAAATTAAGTTTCTGGCAAAAGAAGGCCAAGGCATGTTCTCGCAGACCGCAATGTCGCTTGGATTAGGAGCAGCAGGAGAGGAGAATTAAGGAAGAAAAGCATTTCTAATTCTCTCTGAAACGCGGCAGGGCTGCCAAGGAGTTGTCATAATTCAAGGGCTGCTTTACCCAGAAAGATACATCATCCCCGACGGCCCCTAATGGGTGCTCAGCGATGGGAAGTGTGCAGATCTGCGGCCCCACATCCCCCGGGGCTCAGCGAGCCAAGCACAGGGCCTGGGAAAACCAGGGCAGGACTTGGGGCCTTGGGCACTGGTCCACTCGGGACAGAAACTCCCTGTGCAGAGCCCCGCCTTCTGCGGACTGGGCTGTCCGAGTCCCTGCTCGGGCCACTTGGCCTGAAAGCAGTGGAAAGCGCTCCAGCCCTGGGGACAGATGGGTCTGGGATGGGCCCCCGCTTCTGTCACTCCCAGGCTACATGACTCTGAGCCTCAGTTTCCATCTCTCTAAAGGGGGAATAAACTGCCCACTCCTGGGGTCCTGGTGAGGCCTGAGCGAGACGTGGAATAGGTTCAGAGCCACAGAGGTGACGGGGTTCGCGCTCAGCCCTCCCTTCTCAGGGAGAACAGGGTGGTGTCATCACCAGGGAGCTTGGTTTGAACGCCTTGACCATGGCCCTCCTCTGCTCTGCGCTCCCTGCTGTCTGCGGGACAGAGCAGAGCCGAGCCTGGCAGTCCCTTCCTGCCACCTTTCCCCAAGGCCTACTAACGCCAGCACCCCGACTCGGTATACCCCCCGATCCTGGGTCTAGAGTGGACGGGGCCTTAGCGCTGCCCTGTCCATGGCTGTGTCTGCAGTGCATGGGGCAGTTCTGGGAACGCAGCAGGACAAGTTAACGGGGCTCCTCCCGCTCTGCCCCGCGGGTGTCCCCAAACTGGGTCCTGCTATTTCTCTTCGTCCCACACCCTCCCTGGCACTCAGGTATCCCCAGTGCCATGGCCCTTGTGGTCCTCTGAGATTTGGGTAGGCCCAGCCTGGGCTTGGAGGCTCTGTCCCAAGTTCTCAACTGTCCCTCCTGCTGTGACGTGGGTCACTCGGCTGCTCACACACGCCCCGCCTAAATCAGAAGCCTCCTCAGATTCTGTGTGCTGGTGAGGGGTGCCACCATCCAGCCTGGCCCCCGAGAGGTGGCGGGGCCCCCGCTGCTCCCGCTGCCTGGCCTGCACCATCTCTCCTCCTCCCTTCTTGTGGCCTCCCTGCTCTGCGTTCCTTCCAGTCACCCCGACTCTCTCTCCACATGGTCCCAGACATCAGTCAGGCCGATGTGCCTGTTCTCTGCGTAAGGGCTCTCAATGGCACCTACTGTCCTCGGGGCATAGCCCAACCTCTCCAGCAGAGCTTCGAGCCCAGGGGTGCCCTGCCCACGCACCCTCCTCCTACTGTGCGGGCTGGCCCGAGACCTAGGAGTGCCTGCCGGTGCCCAGCACAGTGGGCTTCCACCTCAGATGTGGCCCAGTGCCACCTGCCCTCTGTCCACCTCCCCAGCACTCACCCCTGCCTCAAGACCGAGAGAACACACGCCAGCTTGTTTCGGGCCTCGATGTTTGTGCCAGGTACGTTTCTAAACCCCTAACACGTCCTTGCTCCTCAGACCTCATGACAGGCCTTGGGGCACGTCTTTCTTGGCCCCTCTGACCAAGGACCCCGATGCACAAAGACACAAAGGGCCATGCCCAGGGCTGCAGAACTAGAGCGGAGAGCCCCGTGGTTGGCTACGGCTGCACTCCGTCATCCTGGGATCAGAGCTCCCACCGAGACCGGCTGAGGGCCCGCTCTGTGACCACTCTGCTCACCTCTGTTGCTGTCCTTACTGTGCAACAGAGAACCATCTTCTGCCCCTCACCCGCCAGGCCATGGCCAGTGGGACCAGGGTTTTGCATTTCTGCTGGACATCAGTGTTTGATGCTCTAGCCATGGCGAGGGGCAATGGATAGAGGAGTTGGCGGGCAGTCTGCAGGTGGGTACATGTGGCTGGCAGGGGCTCTGGGCCAGCAGGCACACTCAGGGATGGAAGGGTGGATGGAAAGACACTGGCATTCTGGGGGGTTGTAGATGGGGAACACAGACAGGAGTGTGGCCAGCTGGCTTGATGTTGGATGGGTGCTGGGAAGCTGGGGCCGGGCATCTGCAGAGATGGGCCTGGCACGGAGCACCGGCTTACCTTCTTACGCACCTGCTGCTCTTTGGCTGAGTGGGCCTTCACGTGCTTGCGCAGGGAGCTGGGGTCTGTGTAGCGCTTGGAGCAGCCGGGGATCTGACAGGCGTATGGCTTCTGCAACGTCAGAGCACAGGTGGTGAGCAGGGCACGGCAGGCCAGGAGGACCCTGACTCAGCTAGCCCTGCCCTCCAGTGTGGGGAAGGTGCTGGGCCGGGCATCTCCGTCTACCCCCAGCTGGGACCTCGGGTGAGCTACCTCTCTGAGTCTCACTCTTCTCCTCTGCAAAACGGGGCCAACTGAGTCCTAAGGGCTCTTCCAGCTCTGACACTGGCTCTGAGAAATACATTTCTTTGAATCCCATAGCTGCAGAGCAGCAGCAGGTGGCCCAGCAGGGAAGCAGGATGGCCGCCTGGGAGAGCAGGGGACGAGGGGCATGGAGGGGAACGCGAGGCTGGGGGAGTGGACAGGGCAGGCTGGGAGGGCCTGGCCTCACCTTGCAGGTAGGTCTCGCATGCACAGGTTCCTCTCTGGGCCACAAGAAGCCCAGGCCCTCTCCCAGCGCAGAGGCCAAAGGGGACTGGATCACAGAGAACACAGGCCTGGGGCTGTGTCCCGTGTGGGAGGAACAAGTCCCCTTCCTATGGCCCCCCGTTCACCTAGAACACAAGAGGTGGGCCCCATGTCTATCCCCACTGCCTCTCCCTGGATTATTACCCTCTGGGGCTCCCATCTTCCGCTCGTAGTCAGAAGAGGATCAGGCCATGCCCTCGGCTTCCACAGACCTCAGGGCTCCCTGTGTCCTCAGAATACAGCCCATCTCCAGGCACCGAAGGCCCTTTGAGGTTTGGGCGCTGATGGGCCTTACCCTCCTGCCCCCACCAGCCCCACCCACGGGCCCTCCTCGCCTCTCCCTCCTGGCCCACCTGCCCTCCTCTCCGAATCCTCCTCCTCCTGCACAGGCCTGACTTCCCACTAGTGGCACTGTCCACCTGACACTGCTGGGTTTGTTCCGTGTCCCTCTCCTCTGCTGAGTGAAGGACCTGTCTGATCCACCCCAGGTCTCCGGGTGACCCTGGGCAGGTGACTTGTGGCTCTCACGGAATTCTGACCTATCTCAAGGGGCACCCACAAGACCCTGCTTGGGGACTGCAGCTACTGGAGTATGAGGTCACTAGCTCCCGAGTTTGAATGCATTGACTGGTCTGATCATTCAGGAGCCTCTGCCCTCCTGGGGCTGTGGCACACAGGACAATGTCCATCAGACACACCCACATGGAAATACCCCCAAACCTCAGGGCGACTGTGCCCATGACCTGGAACCTCCTGGGGGTGGGGAGGAAGTGGAGACACGACCATACCTTGGTGCTGCCACGGAGAGTTGCCAGGTTAAAGAAACGGAGGAGAGCAAAAAGAGAGAGACAGAGCAGTGAGAAGGATGCCCAGGCCGAGGGGACACGGGGCAGTGGATGGAGGGCCTGCCTGGGACTGCCCACCCTCCCGCCAAGGCCCTGCCCTGCCCCAGCTCTAAGGCCCCGTCCCCTGGGGAAGCGGATACAAATCCACACGCTTTTGTCCAAAAGCAAACAAACAGAGCTTCGTGTCTGCGGGCGGCAAGGCCCATCTCTGTGTTTGTTTTTCCAGGGCCTGACGCGTATAGAACATTCCTCGGGCCCAGCTCCCCGGTGAGCCCTCAGGAAACCCCATGGCCGGCCCAAGCCAGCAGCCAAACCCCAGGCTCCAGAGCCAGGGCCGCCTCGTTATGCCCCTCAGCGGCCCTTCTGCCCTGGGCTGAGGAGGCCCGACCACGGAGAGCTTCCTGGGCAGCGCTTCGGTGAGCACGGGCCACCTGCGATCCCCTGCTCCCTCGGCCACCGTGTGGGCATCATCCCAGCCCGCAGCCATCTTGCCCGAGGTCTGGCAGGGAGTGAGCGTGCACACAGCACTCTGCTAGAGCCCCCTCATCTGTGGGCCGAGGCGAGACTCATCCTGACGGGGAAAGCGAGGAAAGCAGTTTGTTTAAGTCTGTAAGCCTCTGCCCTCCTGGGGCTGTGGCACACAGGACAATGTCCATCAGACACACCCACATGGAAATACCCCCAAACCTCAGGGCGACTGTGCCCATGACCTGGAACCTCCTGGGGGTGGGGAGGAAGTGGAGACACGACCATACCTTGGTGCTGCCACGGAGAGTTGCCAGGTTAAAGAAACGGAGGAGAGCAAAAAGAGAGAGACAGAGCAGTGAGAAGGATGCCCAGGCCGAGGGGACACGGGGCAGTGGATGGAGGGCCTGCCTGGGACTGCCCACCCTCCCGCCAAGGCCCTGCCCTGCCCCAGCTCTAAGGCCCCGTCCCCTGGGGAAGCGGATACAAATCCACACGCTTTTGTCCAAAAGCAAACAAACAGAGCTTCGTGTCTGCGGGCGGCAAGGCCCATCTCTGTGTTTGTTTTTCCAGGGCCTGACGCGTATAGAACATTCCTCGGGCCCAGCTCCCCGGTGAGCCCTCAGGAAACCCCATGGCCGGCCCAAGCCAGCAGCCAAACCCCAGGCTCCAGAGCCAGGGCCACCTCGTTATGCCCCTCAGCGGCCCTTCTGCCCTGGGCTGAGGAGGCCCGACCACGGAGAGCTTCCTGGGCAGCGCTTCGGTGAGCACGGGCCACCTGCGATCCCCTGGTCCCGCGGCCACCGTGTGGGCATCATCCCAGCCCGCAGCCATCTTGCCCGAGGTCTGGCAGGGAGTGAGAGCGTGCACACAGCACTCTGCTAGAGCCCCCTCATCTGTGGGCCGAGGCGAGACTCATCCTGACGGGGAAAGCGAGGAAAGCAGTTTGTTTAAGTCTGTACGGGGAGTCTGAGGCTGTCAGGGCTCAAGTCCCACATGTGCGCCTGGGAGCGGCAGGAACGGGAAGCGCGGTGCCCCGGCTTCACACTGCCACCGCGCTGAGCCTCCCCCACCCACTGTCTTGGTAGTGTGTCACTCTCAGGAGCTGGAAGCCCGGCCAGCAAGGGGCTCTCAGAGCTCTGGGACAGGAGCTTTCCTCTCCAGTCTGTTCAGAGACACTTTCCAGTCCGCAGAGAGAATCCATGCTCTCTGAGGCCAGAGGGGAGCTGGGGATATGGCTGGGTGCACTGTAGGGCCTCCGCGGAGCGTGGGTGCTGGGAGAGCAACCCAGCATTGTGGAGCCCCTTGTGGAGTTTGCTGGGGAGCTGGGTGTCAGTGGGGTGTCAGGTTTGAGGGCTTACCTCCCAGGCTTCAGGGACCCCTGGAGAAACTGAGGCCTGAGAGACCCATGCCCCTGTGGGCTCATGCTGGCCTGGCCTGGTCTGGCCTGGCCTGACCTGCCCCAGCCTCGGAGCTCAGCTCACACAAGTGGGCCCAGAGGCCTGTTGCTTTGGGCCCAGGTCCAGAAATGCAGTCAGGAGGGAGGAAGGAGACAAGTCGCAGAGGTGACCAGACAGGCCCCAGGAGACGCTCCTTGGGGTATGAGGCCGGGGGGTGAGGAGGAGAGGGTGCAAGAGGCCTGGCGCTGTCGGTGCTGCCTGCGGCCTCAGGGCCATAACTAGGGGACATAACAAGCTGTGCCTCCCCGGGGCTGGAGAGGGAATGAAGGGGTGCAGGGCGGTGTGTGTCAGAACCACTCCTCACACCCTGTCCCAGCCTGGCTTTTGACAGTGATGACAGGGAGGGGTAGGGAGTTGGGCTCCGGTTGAGGACAGGGCTCTCCTTGGCACCCCAGTTCTGCCCGCTCAGCTCCACCTCCCCAGGGTGGCCGTCACACGGCTTTGCCAGCCGGGAACAGTAGACTCGGGTTTGCACCCAGCTCACTTCCCCTCTACTGAAGACGAGGGACTCGACCTCTGAGTGTCAGTGTGTTCACAGTGGGGCTAATGGCCCGACCGTGGGCAGTCACCAGGATTAAACCAGGGGTGGGTGGGTGTGAGATGGGCAGAACTTCCAGCCCAGGGCCTGGCCCAAACCAATAGTTCCCTGCCGGTTCCTGCACCGGCCCGTTTCCTGGGTCTCAATTTTCCGAGCTGTATCCTTTCAGCCCTCACCTGTCTTTTCAGGGCCTCTGGCTTACCCTAGACAGGTCAGCCACCCTCGGGCCTCCGTTTCCTCATCTGTGTGTTTGGAGAGGCTGAGCTGACGTACACTCAGCTCTCCCAGCCCCCCCCCCTCCCTGAGTACCCCAAACATCTGCAGGAAGAGCAGAGAAGGGGGCGACATGCAGTCTGGCCATAGACCTGTCTCCGGCTGCACGGGGCTGGGGCCCTCCCAGGGCCTGTGCCCCCTCACCAGGGGCTGAAACTGCCATGAGGCCCAGGTCTGCATCACTGTGCTGCCATCCAGCTGTGCGACTGTGAGCAGGCACTGCCTTCCCGGAACCCCTCTCCTCCCGGTGAGCCTCAAGGGCACGGTGGTATGGGGTGCAGGTCTCAGAAAATGCTACTAACCTCTGAAGTCTACATGCACAAGGTGACGCGTGGGCCACCCCTGGCACAGTTACTGGTGACCCGATGGTGCACAAACAAGGGAAGGGAAAAGAAGGGAGTCCAGGTCACTGCGGCACTGCCCACCTCCACTCCTCACCCACGGTGCCCGAGGGACAAAGGACAGCCCTGGAGGGCCTCTGGCCCATCTCCCTGCAGGGAGCACCCTGCTCGGAGTAGGCTGTTGGGCCCTAGGGAGAGGGTGCAGGAGGGTGAGCCCACTGTCTCCGTGGGGATATGCAAGGACGCTGATGTCCAGGTGGGTACCCATGGGCCAAAGCAGCGGTTCTCAACTGGGGGGTGTGAGTGGTACCCCTCCCTCCTGGAGGACATCTGGCAATGTCTGGAGACATTTTTGGTTGTCGTGACAGGTGATGGAAAACTGGTTCCAGTCTAGTTGGTGAATAGAGGCTGGGGAATCACGGGACACCCCCTCACACGGCACCTCTGCCAGAGATGAGCCTGTCCCAAAGTTGGCAGAGCTAAAAGGCCAAGGGCGGGTCTCCACACAGATACGACGCTGCCCCCACCCGGTCGTCGGGCTCTGCCCTTGGGGCCTACCGTGTCGAGGTGGGTGCGCTGGTGCTTGGCGCGGTCGCTGGAGTTGCTGAAGGCCTTCTGACAGCCGGGGTGCTGGCACAGGTACGGCTTCTCACCCGTGTGGCTTCGCAGGTGGATTTTGAGGTTCTCCAGCCGCGAGAAGGCTTTGCTGCAGCCTTCGAACTGCGGGAGAGGCCGGGAGGCACGCTCAGCCCTGTGGCTGCCTCCTCGCCCACACTCACAGCCCAGGGAGCCCAGCTGGAGCTCGATGCCTGGATCTGGGTCAACCTCTGCCCCAGCGTGGCTTCGGGCAGTGCCCTTGACCTTCTGTGTCTGACTTCCTTTCTCCAAACTTGAGCCTCTGCAGCTCCCGCTCGGGCTGAGGTGAGGGCACCACGGGGTGGGATGCTCAGTGACCATCCCATGCAACACCAACCTGGCTGCCATCAGCACGAGAGCCCAGTTGTAGCGAAGCTGCCTCAGTTCACCAAGTGGCCCTGCAGCTGTCCAGTGCCCACCACGTTCCAGGCCCTGTGCTGGCTAGTGGGGGTGTCGTGAGCACAGCACACACGTCGTGCCCACGGGAGCATGTAAGTGGATGGACGGCAACAGCGCATCACAGTGGGGAGAGAGGAAAAGGCAGTGTGGGGGCCCGTGTCCCCCAGGCCCTGCTCCTTGCCCTGGGCCGTCTCTGTCCTGCAGCCTGGGCCAGCGTCAGCTCTCTCCTGAGAGCCCTCTAATTTCTAACTCCTCCTGTTCCATCTCCACAGTTGCCCAGACGTTGCTGATGCAGCAGGGGGACCCCACTGCTTTCTGCTGAAAGCCCTACACGCCTGACCCCCAAACACCTTCCTGCCTCTTCACACCCACCCCATACTCTAGAACATCAGTAGTCAGCCAGCAAGCCCCAGCTCTGCCGTTAAGTCTCCCAGGAAGGACTGTTCTCTCCTGCCCGCCATCCAGCTCCCTTTAGCCGCACAGCCCAGCTCGAGTGCTGGACTGCAGGGCAGCGGGCCACAGGCCCTGGGGCTTGGGGCTGACTGCCCGTTCCTGTGGCTCCCAGCCTGACCTGCTCCAGTGGGCAATGCTCGGCCATGTGTACGCATGGGCAGAGGAGGAGCCCACGCCAGCTGGCACCTCGACAGCCAGGCATGCTGCTGGCTCTTTAACCAAAAGGCGTGTGAAGGGCCTCCACCTCAGAGGTGGAGGCTTCGGGTGGTGAAGTGACCTGCTCGCAGTCACAGGACAGTGATGGGCAAAGATAGGGCTCAAATCTGATGCCAAGGCTGGAGGGGCTCTGCCATGCCCACAGCCTTACCAGGGGCCAGTGGGTGGGGGAGGTGCCCCTCTAGGAGACCAGAGCAGGCAGGCTCCCTTCCCCACCCCTACCCAACCAGCGTTCAAGCTGTGAGCCCAGAACCAGATTAGGACCCACGCAGCAGGTGGCCCGGGATGAAGAGGGCAGTCGCACTCCCTGAGGGCTAGAGCCCCGCCAGCCTGTGGTCCCCACACCTCCCTCTCGGGCTCAACTGCAGGCAGAGGGAGGAGCTGCTGGTTCCATGTACTAACACGGGGCCACGTTCAGAACACACGGCGCTCTTTTCTGAGCTGGGCCTGCCCAACTTTGTCTGTTAGCAAGTTCATGGAGGGGACGTGCCCGCGGTCCAGGGCAGTTCAGCACATCTGGCGTATTTGGGTATGTGGGCTGTTCATCTGGACAGACTAACTTTGGCCCAGGCCAGGTGACACCAAGATGCAGAGAGAACCCAGGTATGGGCCCCAGCTTCCTGGAGAGCAGAGTCCGTGCAGGAGACAGAAACACACACACGCACACCCCGCCACATGGCATCGTGGTTGAGCGGTCACAGAGGGCACATGGGGCTGTGGCCACAGAGAAGGTGCCTAAGTCTCAGAGGGGTCAATGGCTGTGCCACGCCTGGAGACCGGGAGGAAGGGTGGCGGATGACGTCAGTTACGCCGACGGTCACTTCATTCAATCCCTGGTCCTGCACCTTGGACCATGCCAGAATAGCCAGAGGGTGGTGGGCCAAGGACGGGCAGGCCCCGAGCACGCAGTGGGAAGGGGCAGATACCCAGCGAGGCCCGTTGCATCTGGTGCGGGATGCCTGCCGGGTTGGGCTGGGGTCTCGGGGTGTAGAGCCAGAGAGTAGGTTCAAATGCTAAAGCTCCCGAGTCCGGAGGGAAGAGCCCTGAGGGGGAGGGGGTCATATACCTGCTCTAAGGACGCCCTGGTGCTGCTGGTGACGCGGGGGACTGGGAGAGGAAATGGAGGAGGCTGTTGAGGCCTCCCGGAGGCGAGGGTGGCCGAGGCCTACCCCAGGGAGAAGGCCGGGGCAGAACTGCAGGACAGGTGCGAGGACAGGGGCCCAGAGATGATGACGGTCCGGGTGCGATGCCTCCTCGCC